ACAATTCTACTACAATTCTACAATTCACTTAGCAGACGCTTTTATCCAAAGCGATGTACATCAGAGAGTAAGTACAATTTACCCAATAATGGGGGCCAAGGACTTCTTTTGTTTCTGTGGTATTGAAACATATCATTTGATTTGTACTAGGAACATCTAAGTAATCAAAGTATCATAATCAGATGTTGTGACAACCCTTGTCTGTTCCTCTCTGCATATGACTTGACTCTTTATACTAACATTTAAACACACTTTCAGCACCACTGGAAAATATATTAAATTAGAGTTTCTGGTGACTTTCAGATTAAATTAAAACACCACCAGAAGAATCTTCAAAAATATTTCTGGGATAAATCTCGAGGAATAGAATAGAGTCTGATAAGACCAGACTTCATGATGTCAGCAAAATAAATCAGGTGTCTTTTCATTCATTCAGCCCTGCTTTGACTCTATGAAAGACATATCATACTTAGTCTAGTACATATTAGTCTTTGTTTATTTGTTTGATGTTTAATGTTGTATTTTTGTACATGGAGAGCACATTCAATACCTTTATGTGCAAGCATACCTAAAGCTGATTTTGATTCAGATTTCATGAATTTGGAATTTGTATTAAAGAAATATTTTTTAAAAAGCAAACTGAAGTATGTGAAATAAATCTAATTAGATCTCTAATTGTTTTACATTCTTATAATATTTTCATCTTACGTGCACTCTCGCTTCACAAGTGGTTTAAAAACCTTTGAGCAAGAACTCAAAAAAAACAATTCTTTAAGATGCCGAGATGAACTTCAGAAGAGAAAAAGAGAAGATGATGAAATGCAAAAATGTGTCCACAACATCTGTTTCTGTAGACGTAAACCTCCACCGAGAATGTGAGTCAAATTAAGCAAAAAAAAAAAGTTTTTAAAGTATATAAAAGTAGCAGCATTAGACCAGTGAGGTCGGTAATCCGACCTGTGCTATTTGATGAAGGCTTTGCTGTGAACGACCCTTAGATTTGTATTTACTTTAGAGCGAGGGCACCCGCGGGAGCAGCTGGGTCAGTGATGTCTTGCTCTACACAGCAGCAGCAGGTTTTGGCATCGACGAGAGAAATCAGGGGGATTATGTGCTCCTCCTGCCAACACACTCTTTTGATCAGAGGCCAGGTAAAATCAGGCGATCTGCATTAATCCCAGCATCTCTATCTCCTCTAAGTTCTCGTTTCGCTTCCCTCATAGCAGGTTGTTATCAGGCGGAGGGATAATTAAGCCTTGAGGGACTGCTGGAGGCTTTCCTCTTCCAAGTTGTCAAATGTTAGAGGGAGGCAGATCAAACGACTTTGAAACACGAGAGAAAATAAGAAAAAAAGAGGCTAATCTACCCGAGACAACAGACGTATTGTTGAAGCCGCGTTCCTTTGACTCTTGGCTTGCTCTTTGAGATAAAAGTTCGCTCAAAGTCTTGGCAGAGTTTGAAATCGGGGCCTTCCAAGCTCAAAGGAAGACACGATGGAGTTTGATGCTGAAATACTTCAAAAATGAAGTCTGGAGTTTTCACGCTGAGCTGCTAACTCATTCTCTCATTCAATCAAATGATTTTTAGATTGAGTGATTTATTTAGGAAAAGTAACAAATTTGGCCTCCAATAAAAGGTAAATCACAACTTTCTCAAAATGTTTCTCACTGTACACCATGTCTATCTCACTGTATATATGCTGGGGTTTTAAGCCAACAAAGATCTCACGTCATTTGACTGTCTGCATGTTTTCAAAAAGCCCTATTGAAGTGTGGAACAAAAACAATGCAAGCTATCAACATAAGCACTGGCAACGGTGGATTTTAAAAGAGGATCAAGCAGTACAGGGCCTTGTATCTTCTATGATTATCCTTGTTTTTTTTGTTTTTTTGCATTTTCACTGCCAGGACATAGCACTTACATGAAAAATGTTCCATCTAAAAATATCTTTCCTAATGCAATTTTGCAAGAGAAACATTTGTGATCTGTGCGCTAAAGTTTTGTCTCTTTCTCTGTCTCTTTCTCTGATCCCTGCACAGCTTACAAGAGAGGGAGAGAGGGAGGTTGGTGCACAAGTAACCCAGACTGCTGCAGCTTCTCCGGTCGGTCTGTCCTGTATGTGGGCTTCACAACCGTGCAAACATTTGCTGCGTCTCTTCTGTGACATTATAAACATTGCTGTCAATTTGTGCAGGATTTTCTCTCAGTATAAATTCCCCAGAGAATCATACACAGAATCACCCTCAGTATTCTAATCTGTCAAATGATGGACAGCCTTCAGATTTTTTGTAATTTTGCCAAATGTTACCAAGTGCTTTGCTCATGCTGAATGATTGTTGGGTCTTTGTAAATAATATAACAAAGAGTGTTTGAGAACATTTGATAATGAATAAGATTAGATTTGGATTAGAAAACCGTATTGATCCCAAGAGGGGAAACTCATTTGATACCTGGTCAATTCATACAAACAACATACAGCATAGTCAGTACAATCCCAACACACATCCATTAACATCAGGATCGAGATCCACTCCACTCCAGGCAGGAGGCCGTAGCAGCAGAAGCTCCTCCCGGCTGTATGTGATTAAAGGCAGATCTTTTGCATTGTTTGAGAGACTCTCCAAACTCTTGTTACCCAGAACCCCAGAAGGCAAACTAAGAAGGTCAAGAATTGGCACTACACAAACAAATACTGATTGATTGATTGAATTGATTGATCTTTAGTCAAAAAAATGTAATCCCACCGATGCTTTTGGGTTGAATTCATATTCAAATGAATGCAGAACCAGTGTCTCTCCTGACACAGCTTGAGGAGGTCAACAAACTTGAAGGCAAATAAATAACTTGGTTGGAGCTGGAGAGGTTGGCTCAGGACCGGGGGCGATGGAGAGAAGTTGTGGATGACCTCTGCTCCACGAGGAGAGAAAAGGTTTAACTCTGTAAAGTAAGCCAGGCGGTTTTTCTCTCTGCTTTCCTGCCTCAGGGGAAGTCAGAGGTCAAGATCAGACCCTGCAGCGATCTTGCTAAAGGGTAAATCAGCTCGGCAGAAGAACTGCCGAAACAATTTTTACTCTGAAATCACATGTCACTACCAGCACTGCACCGTAATCTCAACCTCTCAGGATCAATTCCATCTCACTGGTGGAAAAACTTTTCTGTTTGTTGCAGTGAAAACAGCCAGCAATGTCCGTCAGAAATGTGTCGGTATCTTTTCAGAAACACAGTTTGGAGCATGAACACATGCCGCCCTGAGCCAGGAGCAGCTGTTTACATTCATATTTAATGCACTCGTACAGTGGGGTCTCTCTGCAGCAGATCACTGAATCAAACCACGGGAAAATTTTAAATTGTTCAAGCTGCTGTTATGTAGTACAAAAAGATGAGCTACTCTGAATAACTGATGATATGAACTTCATAAAGTAGGTGCATATCGAAGACACACTGAGTTCTCTTTGAGTTTCTTGACACAGAAGTCTCTTTTTAAACTTCCTTCAGAAAAATGTCTTGTGAGATATCTGTTTATCCTTCTGTTCCCTAAAATATATTTTACAAACAGGGACGACTGACTCTTCAATAGACTGTATAACACAGTGACATCAAACATTGGTTTCAGAAGTGAACATGAAGCTAAACTTCATCGATGGTGGTCGCCATATTGGAAAAGCTGATTTCTACTAACCTGTTGTAAATAGAGAAGCAGGCAAAGAGGAGGAGTTTGTGTGGGCTCAATGAATATCTTGGTTACTAAAACACACTCATCTAACTCGTCATCTCGCCTAGCATTTTCCAAATGATGAAAACAACACAGACAAAATCGATAGTTTAAGATGAGTATGAGAGTTTGGCTGAAATGAAGGCCAGCCTCTTGACAAACAGCTACCATGTCCTTATCATGCAGAACTCTTAGTCTTTATATGATCATTATGGATGCATTATTAACAATTCAGCCCTGGTACACATTTAACCAATAAAGAAATTATCTAAAGAAACTTTTAGCTCCTTTCACACAAAACTCCAAGAAATGTTCCAAATAATATCCAGGTGAGCTGCATGTGTGAACGTAAATGGCTTAAAGGCAGAATATGCAATTTTTTGATCCAGCAGATGTCACCCGTTAAGCACCAGCATGAAACCAAAACAACTTGGTTGCATGCTAATGCTAACTATCTTTATTATGCTCGTATCTTCACACTGCATGTAAATTTACCCGAAATGACCGTGATCTAGAAACGCAGTTAAGTAGTGAGTACAGTATGTTATTCTTCTAAACAACTTTTATACGCCTGGGGATGAGCTGGCCGGCAGTCCTGGCAATGTAAACAAAGTGAAGATAGGATTCGGAAAGTTTGGAAAGCATAACAGACAGTGGGACTCGGGTGTTACACTCATTGTAGTTATTTTCAGAGGATATAGTTGATTTCTACTTTTAAAAAATTGCATATAAAGCCTTTAATAATTACACAGATTGTTTAAAGGACTTTTCCTGCCAGCAGTAAAAAGTCAGTAAGAAGTCTGAGTGATATATGAATGCAACAGAAAACATTCAAATTGTCTTTTATTCAGCCTCAGGAAATGTAAAATGTAGTATAGAGGTCTTTAGAAACACTAAGAAGATCACAAAGTCCCTGAGTAAAAAATCTGAATAAATCGTCTGTGTGACACAACAGAAAGTAAACTTTTGGGGTTCTGTGAGAAACTAGGTAATTAGGATTAAGTTTAAATGAGAGATTTTTCAATTTCAGTCAAAGAATATTTGAGCCTGCTTCTTTTCCTTCCCTGTTATTTGACGCATAAATCTCCTTTTCAGCACAAAGGGTGTTTATGGATTTCTGGATTCAATTAAAAAACTGTGAACTATCACATTTGGATGAAACAATGACGCAGACTGTTAAGTGGCATCAGTTAAAATGTGCGATCACGACTTATCTGACAACAATGTGAGAAAACGCTTCACTACCGAATCCTCGCTAAAGAAATGTAAAACAGTCCCAGACACGTACCTGCCTGTTGACGTCGTCAGGCTGGCTATGTTGATTCTTCTGTGCACTCTGAGGACAGGCATGGATCCTTCTTTACAAAACGAGACAACCTGAAAGAACAAGAGAGGGACAAATAATACATAACTGAAAAAATGGTGAAGCTTTTCTCCCTCACACTCTCTAATGAACTGTCTGGACATCAGAGACGTGTTCAGTCAGACTTCAGCGTCACACTCTCACAAACACAGCGTCCTCTGGAGACGTTGCTCTTTTACAAAAACACAACATCCGGGTGTAGACAGAAACAAGTATAGGCTCATTATCACCTTCTCCTAAACAGTGCTGTCTTGTTAATTAAATGCACATTTGTTTATATTTGCATTTGAAGTGTTGAATCCATTTCTTTTTACTTATACTGTATCCTGCAACTATTATATTTACCTTGTTTACACACCGCAAAACTCAATAAGCAAGAGGATTTGTCAAATTAGACGTTGAAAGTATCTTGTTACATTTTTTATAAACCATATTCACCTGGCAAGTCCAGATATCTAGTTCATCCTATTTTAAGATACTGGACGTTTGCGTGTTGCATTGGCAGATCTTTTTTTAATTAATTCAAGCAATTCAGGCCTTTTTTTTTGTTGCTTTTCACCTCTTAAAATAAGATGTTTATATGTACTTGTCAGGTGAATGTGTCCTAAATTAAGTTTAATGAAATTGTTTTTACTAAAAGTTAGACAAATTCATGTAAGATCCACAAAATATTTGTGTTTTTGTAGTGTTTTGAAGGTTTTGTAGTGTTTTGAAACTGAAAGTTTAAACTGTTTTCCTGTGTTTCGATTTATAGTGTGTTCAGCGATGTCTACAATGTGCATTTTCTGTGCAGCTGTGTCGCTCTTTCAGTTCTGTCTGTTTTCACTTTCAGGAGTTTGAGCTCCTACTAGCTACAGTTGAGCTCTCAGCCTGCAGGGAAAGTTATGAGGCACAGACTCCTAGCTTGCGAGCTGCTCTGCCCGACTCTGCTGGTCACTCTTTAACTTCAATATAGAACTCTTTCAATCAAAAGAGAACTCTACAATGTTTATTTACGGAACAATATACCACTGTTTCTGTAAAGTCATGATTATGACCTCATGAGGGAGAAAAGATGTGGAAAAAGTCGCGCAGCCTGACTGGTCTGTGTCGCCGTCTTTCCCAGCACAGCGTGCACTCAGCTTTCAATACACAATGAATGGGGATGGGTTTTTAATCGCATCAGGTCGTAGTTAGTGGCTGCTGCACCAGCGGTAATGACGGCGCGTGTTTCAGTATTTTATACTGGTATATTGGTCGCACCGGAGTATAAGACGCAGCCAACTTTTAAGACGAAAAAATAGGTATTAAAAGTGTGTAATTACGGTAATTTTACATATGTTACAAAATATACCTCACCATGACACTGATATGTGTTTCTAGTCTATCCACAAGCCCCCCAAATATGAGAAAGTCAATCTTCATTTTTCAGAAAATGTGTGCTCAAACAGGCCGTTTGGAGATTTTCCCTTCATGACATCACAAAGGGCAGTAACCCCTCCCCCATGTGGGTGACAATCCCACAGCTAGGTGTTTGTTCTACCCTCTGAGTCTGCCTTCTCACCTTAAACAATAGGACATGGAGCGAGAAAGCCTGAGGCACCCAAGCCCTTCCAGAGAGGGGGCGTGGTCAGACACAGCTCATTTACATTTAAAGCTACAGACACAGAAACAGCCTGTTCTGAGCAGGGCTGAAATAGAGGGGTTTATAGGCATGATCAAATACAGGATCAGAGTGGATTAAGAACAAGAAACTTCACAGACATGTTTTGGGGAGCTCTGAGACTTATTCAAAGGGGTTGAAGAGGAGGAGAATATGTGACCGTTAATATTTATTTTAACATTTTAATCTATCTAGACTTCTTAGTCTATTACCTAGTAATAAAATGTATCTTATTTTTGTCATTATTCTTTCATTATTATCATTATTATTGTAAACATTTAGCATGCATATCCACATTTTTTATCTTGTTCCTCGAAAAATAAAAGGATTCAATTTGAATCTATAAAATCCCCAAAATATGTAACTTTGAAAACAAAATGTAGCTAATTTCTACTCTATATTAAATATTTCACATTTGAATAAGTTTATTTTTTGTTGTGCTCTTTACAGTTTGTGTATCTTAGTTTTATTTCATGTAATTAAATGTGTTTATTTCTTTGCCTGGACAGCTACCAAAATAATTTCACAAGGAAAAAATCTGCACCAGTACATTTAGTACAACAGAATAATCAAAAACATTCAGGATGATGTCATATTCACATAAACTGCCTAAACATAAATGACAGCTATAAGACTTCATTATGCAGAAAGCCACATCTAAACTAAATCACAGAGTTTACTGTCTGTCTGAATCCAACTTTTGTGTGAAAAAGTTCCAAAAATAAATGTGAAATGACAAGTCGCTCAGGATGTGTCAGCAGCAGGCGACCTGTGGAAAGAAAACCCAGACACAGCATCTGTTTGTGGCACCGGAGCCGAGCTTGGATTTCAGTCTGGGTTTGATGTACCCAACATGTTATGCTGTGTGAGAGAGAGAGAGAGCGAGAGAGAGAGAGAGAGAGAGAGAGAGAGAGAGAGAGAGAGAGAGAGAGAGAGAGAGAGGGAGTCTGCAGTTTTGATTAAAAAACACATTTGGCTTTGAGCAGATGGCTATGTAGACTTTGCTTGCTTGTTTAAAAGTAGGCAGTCCACCCACCATCCATATTTTTCACACTTCATTTTGACGTAGGGCAAACTGAAAAAAGGGAACGGATTACAGAAGTCCAAAAGAAAAAGTAAACACACTCTCCTTTGTTCCAATGTGGCTGGACAATGTGGCGCCAAATTTTTATATAGAAATTGACCCTTTTAGTGTGTTTAGTTAATGGTGAAGAAAAAAAAGAAAGGTCAGCACACGTTTCAGCTTCCAATTTAAGGCCAGAGGAAGATCTTTGGGATCGAAATGTTGCCCTGTTTAAAATAAGATTGCATTGAGTTGAACAGTGTGCAGACCCCTCTCTTTTACCTCCAGTTCGTACATTGTTTGTCCTGCACCTGTATGCATTTTGCCTGGATGTGCACACGCTGGTTTCCTCTTGTTAATGGTGAAGAACATTAAATGGGAGGTACATAAAAGAGTTGCCAGATGGAAGGTGAAAGTGACTCAGAACTGAATGTTGAAAGTCAAGGAACATTATTTTTTTGCAGGCTAAAACCAATTTAATCAGCACTCCGTTTTGCAATCCTGACTTCTTTTCTTCATTTTTTTTAAATGATAAATTTTCTTGTGCTACAGACACATTTTGCTGTCTGAGAATAGGTCAGTGGTCAAACAAAGAGCACATGATTCTACCCAACAGTAATCCAAGATAACTTGTAGTTGATGTAAATGCTGGTTGTGAAAAGTAGTGCTCAGGTTAAGGTCACGAAAACAAATTGATTTGAGAGAAATTTTGTAGATTTTTGAGCCTATCTCTGTCTTTCTGAGTTTGATATATCATGTCAAAAGATTCCTACAGTTCTCTGTGTCACAGCTGGATCTAGGCTTAGATGAAAGATCAGTCTTTTCATGTAGTCAGTGTCCACAAGAACAATAAGCTATTTCAAATCATGTATATTTTTATTCTCTGCCCTTTATTTTTATTTTATTTTTTTTACAAACTAGCTATGCAATAACAAAAAAGGGAAACAAGGAATCCTCAAATGTAATGCAGTGGATGAAATAGATGGATATGCTACACAGGGATTCGGCTGACTTGGACATTAAACCGTATTTATTTGAGCCAGAGTGTTCAGGCAAAGAGTTGTTAGGCTGACACTGCAGCTACTCATCCTTTATGCATCCTGGGACATGTAGGCGCTACTGGCACAGCGAGCCGGAGAGCTCAGCTTTACTCAATATTGTCAATATAGCACGACCTGAGGAACGTAGTGCTCTATATGTACCATCACCACTGACAGGATATCAACATTAAAGCTCCTGTGAGAGGTTGTTTACCTGATTATATAGATACTGATGTGTCTCTATGACTGACAAAAGCAAACGAGACCATCTGAAACAACATTAATCATTTCTATACAGCTAGTTTTAATGCTTGTAACCATTGTCGCTGGGTAAGTGTCAGAGTACATGAGTTACAGCAGCAGTCACTGGCTAAATTTCCCACTGCAAAGGTTGTCAGTGAGTGCTACCTACCACATTTAACAGCAGGATGAGGTTTATCATCTTAACACACATGTAATGGAAAAAATCAGCAAAAAGATTCACAAGGGCTGCAAAAATCGAGACAAACTTTAAGTTCCTCACAGGAGTTTTAAAGTGAATTCTCCTTCAAAGTTTGGTTCAGAAAATGTGTGCTGTCTTAAAATATTGAGAAAGTGTACACGTCCTGTCTTGTAGTTTGAGTCAGTGTTTTGAATTTATCATAATTGAGGTGTCATATTACATTGACTTAAAATCTTGTTTTGCTGCCCTCTAGTGGTTGAACTTCTCTCCATGCTGCAGTGATATAGAAGCATACTCCACAGGGTGTGTGACGGGGACAACGACCACACTTCTGACCAAGGTTAGCTAAGACCAGCAACAAAAATCCCAGTCATACACATTCACGCACCGCTGACAAAGCAGCAGGGGCAACTTGGGGTTGAGTGCCTTCCCCAAGGACACATCGACATTTAACCACAGGAGCATGGGGATCGAACCAGATGAGAGAAGACTGACTGTACCACTGAGCCACAGCCGTGCCTGTGAATGGAAATTTTCTATAGATATCTGAGTTTATCTATTACAATCTCTGCCAAACATGCTTTAAGTGCCTCAATGTCAACATACAAACGTTAACCCTGGTGGTCAAGTTTTGAACTGCAGTACCCAAGATTTTTTTCTCATCTCTATTTCTGTTAATACTGAAAAAATAAATACAGTCATGTCCATCATCCTACGATCGGACATTGAAGGAGAATAAATGGTAATGCCATGTCTGTGAACGTTTTAGAAACAGGTTGATGTAGTGACTAATGTGTTGCATAATTTATAACATTATCCTACAATATTGTTTAAAACGTATTTCAGATTATATTATATTCCAGTTAAAGCGTATCTGTCCTACAAATTAATTTATTATGGGGTTAGGTATGAACTTTTTTCACAACCTTTACTGATTTTCAGACTTGTATTTCGGGTATTTTCAGGCACCAAGAAAATGAAATGAAATACCAGAGGAGTCTTATAAAATAATCCGTTTATCTCGCTGCTTAGAAGTCCATGAAATCATTTTTATTTCGGGGAACATGAGCGCAGAGTTTTTCTTTGAATGAAAGAATATTTCCAACACAAGAAACAAGACAATTTTACTGTATTTAATGACGACTGGTCATGTTGAATAACCCTTCTCCATTCTCTTTAAGATTAAAAATGGGGGACATTTGAATCTGGAGTTACAGATCTGTGCTCTCCTCATGGAAAATATATTTTAAGGATGCAAAGATGTTAAAACCACACAGGGACATTTCTACAAGGAACAAAAAAAATCTTTAAAAGCTTGGAAGACCAGACTACTTTTGATTTTGTAGATTTAACATCCACATGAGAAATTGTGTCCTTCATTTTTAGTAAGTAATAAACCTTTTTACAACTATTGTCAAAAGTTTTGTTGTCTCTGGAGAAAACCCTGGCAGGATGAAACCAGGACTTCACATTGAAAATCACATTAGCTCTTAAGATGTGTCCGTGCTCGCTCTGAAATCTTTATTTTCTTCGATGGCTTTTTGATGTTAACAAAACGACAGTGATTTGTAAGTCCACCTGCCTCGGCACAAGTTGTTAAATTTGTTTACTGGCTGTACTGCTTCACCCTGACATTGTTTTTCCCTGTTTATCGATTCTCAAGAGTGAACTATTTCTGCCAGCTGCGGTGCTGAAACTTTAATATGATGCCTTGAATTTAAAGGAAGGCGGTTAAGGTTCTGAAAAGTGCAGCACAGGAGGAAAAAAACATCAGTATGCTGAATCTAAAAACCATGTCAGGGGGTCCATCCTCTTCACACTCAGGGAGCATGAGTGAGGTCAAACCAGGTAAAAGCTGTGCTCCTTCATTGATCCCGCGTATTAAATCTGTACCTGTCCTCACTACAGAGGAGCTGCAGGTAAAGAGATGCAGACTCAATCAATGAGAGGGTTTTTAAGCTGCGAGATAACATGGATGTGCAGAAAGTGGATGACGATCAATATGAAGTGAGATGGAAATAATGATTTCTACGTTCAATCAAGGCCATTTATGGAGTATTTTTTTTGGCTAAGATGAAAAAAACATCCTCTGCAGTTGTCCTTTACGGAGGAGAGAGTGACAGTAAAAGCCAGCCGGCAATGAATGCAATTTCTAATTTTAAAAGCTCCATTAATTCTCATCCAGCACCTCTGCCCGTATAACTTCTGAAGGGGGTCACAAGGAGAGCTAGCATTAATAACAGCTGCCATATTACATCTGGATGTGGCTTGGAGACAGCGTCCCGTCTCACAGTGTCCTCTTGAAAATAACATATGATGCCATTAGGTGCTATTACAGGACAAACCCCACACAAACACACACAGGCTGACGGGGAGCAACTGTAAATCACTTTAATCCAGCCCGGAGACGAAGGCAGGTTATTCCCACTTTGCTGAGGGGACGAGGGGGGGATTTGTGACACAGACTGAGCTGCAGTTTACCAGCTTGAGTCATGATGAAAGCAGTGATTGAGCTCAGCAGTCACAAATCCCTGATCACCTGCCGCTTCTACACCCCAAAAGGAAAATAACAGACCACACACCTCAATTTCAGGAAAAGCACAAAAAAGATCCAGCTCTGAAGAAAACCCATGCACATTAAAATATACAAAAATAGAGCGTATAATCTGACAAGCAGCCGAGATTATCTATTATCTTCCTCTTTACTCGATACAGATTGGGATCATCGTCACTGATGCTCTTACCCTCCTGGTCCCTGAAGCAGAGATTTGACTCATCTCCCTCTCATCCTGTTCCAGCCCCGAGTCCCACTGAGTCCCGCCTGTCAATACGGAGCCGCTAAATGCTGCTCAGACTGTCAGAGAGAGAAGATGCTGCACGCCTTCCACGCTTTACACAGTCGCACATTTATATGTACAGCCTGCATGAGCACAAACTCTCCCTCCCACTGATGGGCAAAAAATGTGTATCCAATTAGGAAGAAAGAGGAGTAGAATTTACCCCAAAGTCTGCAGAAGTTGTTTGTTCCTTTTTTGAAAGGGGTTAAAGCAGATATATTTAAACTGTGAGAAAGGTGCAGAGCGAGCTTACCTGCACACAGGGCAGATGCACAAACAGATCTGTGGCTTCCTGCAGCCGCTACACTCACCTAAATCACTTCCATGACTCACGCAGAGGGAAGATAACCGGCTCTCAGGAAAAGTGGAGTAAACACTCGCTGCAAAGGCAGGCACGGCGCTCGCTCGCTCTCACTGCAGCGCTGCTATCATCATCCCCCTCTCTCCTCCTCTGTCTCTTTCTCTGCTTTGATCCCTCTCTCTCTCTCTCTCTCTCTATCTCTCTCGTTCTCTCTGTACAGTGGTGCCCCCTGCTCTCTCCAACTCTGCCACCCCCTCACTCTCCACCACAAGGTGTCACAAACAGAGAGTGTCTGCACCCACTGTCTCTTATTGGCTCACACTTCTCTCTCTCTCTCTCTCTCTCTCTCTCTTCTCTCCCCCTCACCTCACTCCCCAAACCCCTCTCTCTCTCTCGTTCTGTGACTCTTCCTCTCTTTGGATTGTCTGCCTTAAAGAGGCAAAGCATCACACCACAGCTGCAAAACTCAGAGTAGGTAGGTAGATAGATAGAGATGGGTATATAGGTATAGAGAGAATGACAGAATATTTTCTCTTATTGCACTTCATAGCGTGTTTTCTTTTCACACACTTTATTTTCCAGTGAAACCTTTTTTGCATAAATTAAATGAAACTAGATAGATAGATAGATGCAGAGATAAAGAGAGAGTTGTAGATAGAGTTTCATATAAAGAAATGTGCCATGATGCATCGTCGAGTACCTTGCCTACCTTACGATCACCCCCCTTGTAACTAGAAATTTCTAATACTCGAAAAAGTTGCAACAGCGCTGCGCTCAATGACGTTGATACACCCTAGACAGATTCATGGTCCTGAACATTCAGTTACTTTTATTGACTTCTCGTCGCTATAGGAGCTTTGAAAACTGTCTTTTGTGAAGCATTCAAGGGCAAACCCATGTCAATATTAAGTGGACTCCAGAAATGCAGTCCATCCATGGTGCAGTGTTAGAAAGATCAATGAGGAGAAAATTGCCACATATAAAAATAACCCTTTTTTTTTTTTTTTTTGTGTGTGTGATTGTGGCTTTCTGTTAAGTGTTTAAGTGAAGAAGTGGCTACAATGATTTTTTACACCGGCCTTTCAGAGGAAGAAAAAATAAACATTTGTTGTGCTTTGTGTTGCTTATGGAAAATGTTAACTGAATCAATAAATTCCTCAGTGGCGGAAATATTGACGGAGAAAGCTGAGATCTTCCACTTGCACATACGGAGGCAGCGCCTTTATGTACCAGGATGCTTTGCACATGAGAAGCTGAAGTATTGACTTTGCTGTGTTACATTTCTTCGGCTGTAAATTTCAGCTCGGATACATACAGTCATCCAAATTTATTCTCCTCTGGAAACCCACCGCAACAATACTTTGCAAGCTAATTTCACTGCTCATAGAAATGAGCCTACCAAGTTACAAATAAAGGTAGAGACCAAAGATCTACGTCGAAAAGCATGCATTTGTTTTGTTTCACCCCTATATCAAAAGATGGCGCAGGTCCTGCAAAAACACCGATTTTGTGGTTGCAGCAAGCTCTTCCCAAGAGATACAGAAATTATCTTGTATACTTTTATCTAACTGTTTAACCTCAGCGTTTTAAAGAGATTTTAAAGTAGCTCATCTTGAGCGGATCTCTCTAGACTTGGGCCTGGGCCTCATATCTCAAGAAAAATATTGATTCAGCAATTTGAAATCTCCCTGGACAGATTCTGCACAAGTATACATTTCTGTTGGTAGAGGGTTTCCAATGTGAGAAGAGTTTTTGGTTTCTGTTTGTAGGCAGAGTAGTATTATTCCTTGGCTTTACAAGAGAAACAGTCCGGGTACAGAAGGCAGAACTTATTGGTCTCGAAACCCTTCATTTATCAATCTCCTTTTAAGATTCCTATTTTCTCTATCAATTTTAACGATGACAAGTGGCCTGGAAATCCTTATAGTCCAGCTGAATAACCGTTGGCTACACCTGGAAATACACCATGGTCATAAAATAGCAGAAGGATTCCAACAACATTGTGAGACTTTTGATGAAATTAAAGAACATACCAACAAAATGTGTCAAAAAACTCTACAAAGCGCTTTTTAAACATGTTTGTTTTGTTAGTTTTCTTTGTTCTGTCACATATTTTGTACTGTCTATAGTCCAAACTGCACAACTTTTCATTAAATAAAACTGAACTGTTGACTGTCCAAAATTTGGGTTTCAAATTTAGTGCACTGCTTTATAGGATTCGAAATCTAGAGCAGTGAGAACCACTGCTCTAGAGGATTTTAATGTCATGTTCACGTGTGTGGACTCCAGGGAGGGAGAGTAGTTGCTACCTTGTAAGTGACTAATGACAATCTAAAAACAATATTAAACCTGAAAGACACAACCTGCCAAAACTAGTGTCAGCATACATGCATGTGCATTTGTTCATATTTTGTCTTTAATGTAAGATGACTGCTGATTTTTTTTAAATGTATTTATAGAAGACATTTATTTTAAGAATAGCAGATGATTTCTGATGAAAGATGCAGAAATCAAAATAAAATGCAATATAAGTTTAGAAAGCAGGACACCAGTCCGCCCTCCATAAGAGGATCTATGAATTTTGAGTGGATGTAGCCTTTAATGATCATTTCAAACTGGGTCTGCATGGAAATAGGGCCAGGAGTCAAGTTGCCAATTTGCAATTATAATAATCCTCCAAGCCCCTTAAAATGTAGATTACAAATATTCTCCATGCTGCTACGTCCTCATGTGATATTCGCCCTAATTCAGCATGAAAACAGATTAATGGTTGGAGGCTTGAAGTGCTTTTGGTGTTGTCGTGTTTGGGCTTCTGAAAATGTGCTGCATCTGTTTAAAATGTAAGCGTCCGAAATCATTAAGATCACAACATGTAAGACCACGGATCAACTCCGATCCCCTGCTGTTACGATGCTCCTGTAAGCATTAGCCTAATTCAAGTGTCGACACTTTAAAATGAAGAAATTAAAGAGGGATGAAGGAACATCTGTCCCGCTCTTAACGGGAAGCAGAGTGTCTGTCGTGATCAGGAGTCATCTTGTTGTCCTTCTCTTTACTTTGTATTTGTTGGTTTCATGTGACTGAATGCTGGTCTGTTCTATTAGTCTCAAGAAAATACAAAAATACTCGGCTGAGACTTAAGGCCCAAGTTTCCGTGCAGAGATTGAGAGTTAAGGCTAAATCTGTACCATAACTTGATCTTTACTTCTTTGTTTTTAGATACATTTTTCACCTGTGTGAAAACTCAGACATGAGGAAGAGGATCAGCGCCGGACATGAGAAAATACTGTATATAATAATAGGAGGTAGATTTTTTTTTCATTATGCATTTTGGGAATAAAGTTGAAATGTTAAAAATGAATTTGAAATATAAATTTGTGAGTTTTTGACTTTTTCTGGAAATAGTACTTCAACTTTATTCTCGTCTTTTAGACTATTTTCTCTACATTTCCGACTTTATTGCAAGATTTCAACTTTTTTCCACAAAATTTCTGTCTTTTTGGGAACATTTTTCCGACTTTATTCACAATGTTTCCAACTTTATTAGCGACATTTCAACTATTTCCTCGACATCTCGACATGTCGGCTTTGTTCGCGTTTTCAAATCGCAACTTTTTTTCTCAAAGTGCATAATGAAAAAAATCTTCCTCATTATTTATTTCTCATGCCTTGTTCTAATCCTCTTCAGTGCAGACATGTATAACTTTCTGTTCAGTGAAAGTGGGTTTTAATGCATTTTTAATGACTGTAAAAAAAAGTTATCAGACGTTAGTAAGTGTCAAAGGAAGCTGGAGCTCCAAAGAGCAAATATACAGTTGTACTTTTTACTTCTAGCAGCTGACATAAACTTTGACAGAGCTGAATATGATGTGCTTTTTTCTCCTACAAGTTCAGTTAGTTTTAGATATAAAAGGGCTTCTTTGGGGAACTGAAGAAAAGTGAATTCCATATTGCATAATTTAACAATCACCTTTATTGCATGCCTGCATTTACACACAACTGCACACAGCACTTAATATTACTATTTCAAACCACTTTAATATTTACCATTAAGAGCTTGGTGGCGTCCCTTAATGTAGCTCTATTGTATCTGTTTCAATGGTGTGCATGTTTTTTTAAAGCATGTCTCATGTTTTTGTGCCATCGAGTGTAAATATGCTATCTTGTGTTTTAGAAAGGATATACTTAAAAATGTCTTCCATTTGCACACAAGAAGTGGACAAAAAAGCAATCTCTCTCTTTCTATTGCCAACCTTTTAAGGCACCAGTTGCCTCGATTAATGACCAGTAATAAACACAGAGCTCTTACAATGCGCCTGATATCGACAGATTCACGACCATTCGAGAACCTTCAGTCACTTTTATTCCCTTTCTGTATACGGGATGAAGTGTTACAAAATCAAAACTAAAAGTGGATGCCATGAAGAGCACAGCGTGAATGTAGCTTTATAGCATGTGTCAACTCAAATATTTTTCTTGAAGATGCCAACAGGGAGAGTTCGTTCAGGAAGAACCCACTTACAACTATCACACTATTACAATAATCGCAATAGTGCGTCACTTTGACAAGAAATAATGGTGATAAATGCTCGCTAAGATTATTTATCTAAAAATAATATCAGCTGCTATGTCTGCCTGCAGAGAAATAATCATCACTGAAGAAAACTGTAGTATTGGATTTTTGCAGCATGGTTAAGAAATTCGCAATTTGCAGTAAATTAAAGATAAAATGTGCAAAAATAATTTTATGGCCCTTAAACGCATCATAGAAGTGAAATTTTGACTGAGATCTCATTTAGTCAGAACCGTAAAAATGAACATAGTCATCGTCTTAAATGGCACTTTTAACCATCTTCTTTAAATATTTAAGTGCTCATCCTCCTAAAGCGCCAAACTCCAAAAATAATTAGTCTTTTATATTATCCTTTTATTTTCATTGTCCTTCGCCTGCAGCCAGATAGTCTGCTTTCACAAAGGATGTATTCTGCTTTCCTTATAGCCGACTTTTTGTTATATGAATCATACACCTTCTTTTTTTTTTAAAGGTTTATTTTTGGGCTCCTTTTGCCTTTATTTTAAAGACAGGACAGTGGGTAGAGTCAGAAACCGGGGAGGGAGAAAGAGGGGAATGATGTGCGGGAAAGGAGCCACTGGTCGGATTCGAACACTGGCTGCCCACTCAAGGAACTACAGCCTCTGTACATGGGGCAGGGGGGCAGGGGTACAGGACAAATTTGGTCAAATCTATAAAACAAAGCTATCATGTACCTGTCAA